ATTATTCCCTCTGCTATTTGATGCTGTGCAGCAACACTAACATCTGTTTTGCTTTTGGACATTTTCTATGAAGCATAACCATAGAAACATGGAGGTTTGTTACAATCTGGAGCAGCTGTTTAATATCTCAAAAGCTCAAAAAAAGTCTCAACTACAGCCCCGAATCCCAGATGAGTTGAAAAGGAGATGCTGTGATGCAGAGCAGGAGCAAAGAGGAGAGAGAGAAGGAGGAAGTTCAAACCATCTCTTCAATCGATCATGATGGGCAACGTGAGATCGTAGGGGAACAAGTTGGATGAACTCCAGGCCCTAACATAAACTCACATAAGCTTTTTGACCATATGATGGACAACCATGAGCACCCCCTTCGTTAGACTGTCCTTCTACAACAGAGTGACTTCTGTCAAAGCTTCTTCAGTTCTACTGTAAGATGAACCTCTACAGGAGAGCCTTCCTGCCACAGCCATCAGTAAACAACTCTTTAAAGAAACCAGGATAATATGAGTTACAGCATTCAATTTCCCTTTGGGATTAATAAAGTATTATTGAATTGAATTGAAGTGAATTAAATTGAATTGAATTGGATTGGCCTGACATTTCGACAAATGCATTTTCACTTGCTGCCTTTGTTTCTGGGGTTTTTAACTAAGATCATCTTATATTGAGCAATAGTTATAATATACTGTATTGGTCGAACCTTGAAAATTATGTGCCCAATTATTGTACAATACTGCAATATCTTATGCGATCTCTTAGTGTTCAGAGTATTTGTTGTAAATGACTCTCAGTAACTATTACAACACGTCTTAACTCAAAATTACCGAGTTAAAAGCCATGTTTGTGTTTGTCAAGATCGTTTTGCTGCGGTGACCATTTTCAATCCAATTGGTGTCAAATACTAGTTGTTTGTAGACATTCATTTAATTAATATTTTCTGATAATTACATTAAAACCCACTCAGTTGTTCTTGAGATATTCAGTTAACAGACAGATAGGGTTGAGTCCAATAGTTAGGTAGTTTTAAAAGAAACTACAGCAAGTTATAGACATTTTTTTCCTTTTTAAGGTCAGTTTCTTGTGGCCACCATCTTGAATTTCTTCTAATGGCCCATGAGCTATTTTGCTAACACACACGCACACAAACACAGGCAAAATTGCTTATTACCCATTTTTGTCTTTTGGAGTTAATATAAAACAGTATATTATCAGCATCAAATGATGTTCTTCATTTTTTTATTTACTGTATGTTATACTAAAATTTATATTTTTATTATGTAAATAACAGTACTACCTGAGAATTTATTTAGTAATACATTTAATTAGTAGATGTAACCACCACATAATCAGGTATTTTTGTCTATTTGTTATCTAATTCTACGTTTGACCAACTTATTTGTCTTGTTTTTTGTAGCAAGGGAAGATTTATTTTGATCAATGTGAACTGGAGTGTTTGAGCTACTGTGGCTAAATGTAAATGTTGATGTTGATTAGTGTTTTCCTTTGTTTTGTTGTTTCTTGTTTGGTTTCTCTAAAAGTAAAGGAATCAACTCAAGCACCATGGATCACATGAAACAGGAGTTTATTTAAGTAATAAATATGCAATGAATTGTTCTGATTGTTGCTGTTTTCCTGGAATAGAAGCCTTTTCTTGTTGACTTTCACAATATCTAAATAATGTCATTAAAAGAGAATGAACTGATGTGCCACAAAGATTGGTTTGTTTATCTTTGGGATAAAACTGTTCCAGTTTTGCTGTTCTTTTTTTTCCCCACCCTGGAAGTCAGCAGTTTGAAGTTTGGTGAACTTTTGAAGTGCAGGTCACACTCCGTTAATCCTCTTTGTAATCAAGCTTTTCTGCTTTCTCTGGTCCAGAAAAAAAAGAACCATGTTTTTCTTTGAAGCCATTGCAATCTGCACTCACTGCCCTCAGGTCAGAGTGTGGGGATAATTTAGCATACGAAGTATGACTGCTTGGTTTGTTATTTGAACCATGCTCTTAAGATTACCCCGTGGCTTTGATTCGATGTCAAGGCTGTTTTTTTTTAACTAGTTTGTGGAGGTTGTACTGATAGAGTGATAATGTTGTTGTTTAGATGTTGGGATAAGGTGTGGAGGAGATAAATGAGCCTGAGTACAGTTTCCAGGTTTAGCTGATAAACAGTATGTTATGCTTTCGTTTAAGAAACAGCCTAGCAAAGTGTCTTTAAATGTAATCTTTAAAACAATCTTAGTTTTTTTCCTTCTTTTAAGATGTTTCATCTATCTCTGTGCTCATGCTTGTCTCCATCTCTTCACGGTTCACTCTGTAGCTCCTGCTGAGCCATTGCTGTGCAAGTTTGCCGATGGAGGTCAGAAGAAGAGGCAGACCCAGATCAAATACCCCCAGAATGGCAGACCATGGACACGGGAGGGAGAGGTGAGGCATATGAAAAAGAAAATTCACATAGCAGTCACAACAGTTTGGAAAAATCACAGCAAAAAAGCATTTTAAATCTCTTTAATATTTTGTGTGTGTGTGTGTGTGTGTGTGTGTGTGTGTGTGTGTGTGTGTGTGTGTGTGTGTGNGTGTGTGTGTGTGTGTGTGTGTGTGTGTGTGTGTGTGTGTGTGTGTGTGTGTGTGTGTAGAAAAGTCATTCTACAACCTTCTGATAACAGATCCATTTCATATTATCATTTTAGATGTGTTCCTAATTTACATTGACTCAGCTGTATTTATAAAGCACTTTTACTTATCTGAACTTTGCTCCATAACACTGTAGCCATAACTCTAATGCTGTGTTCACACCAAACGAGTTTTAAGCATCAGGGGCATCAGGTTTACCTGCAAAGTCTATGGTTGACGCACGTCAAGAGGTGTTGGGAGGTGCTGAGGAGCGTTTTGAAGCCTTTCAAGCATTTGATGCACGTGTTGAGCGCTGGAGTTGGAAAATCTGAACTTTTGCAGCTTGAGACTCAACTATGTGACGTAGTGACACATTTTCTGATGGGACTGTTTCCTGAATGATGTCCACTGAACAGGAGCTCTTCAGCTGAAATTGAATGCCTGTAGTCGGTGTCCTGGCAGGAGATGTGGGCAGCGATGTGGGTCAGCGACTCGTCAAACTGAGCTTGGGACAAAAATGGTTCTGAAAGCGACAGATATAATATTATCTGGTGAGTGCGACGTGCTCTTGCTTTCAGTAAATAAAGCAAAGCCACTTTCTTTATTTAATCTAACATTAAACGGAAACTGGCAGAGGAGGCTCTCCAACTCCAGATCTCAAGATGTTCCCTCTCCAGAGAGGAGACAAAATCCCTCCTGTGAGTTCTGAGTCTCCTGCTGGTGGGATAAGTCAGGAAAATCTCTCGAGGGAGCCACCAAGGAGGCATCAGATGCTTGATTCACCTTGACTTGCTTCTTTGAATGCAGAAGAGCAGCAGCTTCCTGACGAGCTGCCCCAAGAGTTTTTTTTTTAATGTAAGTCTGAACCCGGCCACCCTCACGTCATCATCTTGTATTTGAGATCTCATTCTTATGATCATGATCCACACCTCAAGACCATAGATCAGAGTTGGAATATAACTAGAACCAGAAACAAGTTTTGATTTTCGGCTCAGCTTCTCCTGCACCACACGACACAAAGCAAATGCCACAATATGGATGAGGTCATTGGGGCTGATGTGGGGGGGTATCGGGGTGTCAGGGGAGCCCTCGGGGGCTGGGTCTCTGGGGGTTCCTGGTCTGGGAGGCCATGGCCCTCGCCCTGGGGGGGAGCCTTGGTGATTCTGGGGGATAGTTTCTGGTGGCTGCATGCGGGCCCTCAGGTGGTCTGTAGCGGTGGTCATGGGTCACTGACCCGGTGACCTGGCTGTGCTGGGGTGGGTTTGGGGTGGACGCGAAGGGCCTGGTGTTCTGGGGTCATGCCGCCCCTGGGCTGTGGGGCTGGGGGGGTCAGGCCCTGGCGGGCATGTTGCCGGGTCTCTGGGCCGGTTTGCGCTCTGGTGCTAGGCTCGGGGCTGGGGGCCTTCGGTGCGCTGGTGGGTTGCAGGTCTCGGGCGCTAGAGGGTTGGGTTGGCTGGGGGCAGGGCCAGTGGCCCGTGGGAGGGGGCAGGTCGACTCAGCATGGGTGTTGAGTGTGCTATAGATTCTGAGAGTTGTCTGAATGTTGGGGTGGGTGTAGTATGTCTTCTGGGGTGGGGCAGTGTAGATGGCCTATGGTGGCGGCCAGGGGCTGTGCTGGGTTGGCTGGTTGGCCCCTTTGTTGTGGCGGGGGTTTGCTCTTGGTGGCCTCCTCGCGCTGTTGGCGGCTGGGTGGGCACTCTCAGCTGAATCTGCCTTGCTGGGTTTCGTTGGCTTCCTTGTGTTGCGGGCTGGCTATGGAGCTGGGGGTCAGGTCTTGGAGTTTGGACGGCTCTGGGGTGGGTGGAATGTTGGTCCTGCTTTCTGGTGGTCCCCTGGGCTCTGTTCAGCCGTAGTCTAGGTCTCCCCGGGCCTGGCTGTCTGTCCAGAGGAAGAGGTTTTGGGATCTCACTGCCTGGGTCTCGGGGAACGGGAGTGACTACCTTGGTCAGTCGGGGAGCTAACTCCCTGTGGGAGCATTTTTCTCCCCCAGTCATTTTTTCATCCCATCCCTCACCACATACCTCCACACTCTTCATTTTCAACTCCACCCGTGTAGGGCTTTTGGGGTGCAGGTGCATTACAAGGAGCAACAATTGTACATCTCCATTTGCCATGGCCACCTGGGCCACAATTTTACTGTACACATTCACTTATAACATCCTCATGACATTTACGTATATGGACTCGGCAGTGGGCACTTATGGCATGCAAGGGGCGGGATGAATGCTCTCACCACTGATGCCTGTGCCAACTGCCAATAGTTGCTTGTAGACATTTAGGGTTTTTGGGTTGGAGTTGGGGTGGAAGGAAAACTGGCATTGTGCTTTTATATATATATATATATATATTTCTTATGTCCCCAAGATACTTTCCTGTGTCATCACCACACAATACCTATCTGAAACACAGCCATCAAACTGCACCAGATGCAGCTAAGGGGCTCACATCTGCCCTAGGTTGTTTCTGTGACCAGTCACAGTTGTAGCGTTGGCATGAGGCTAGCTGGACCAGTTCTGTGCCAGTATGCTTCGGGATATGTTATAAATATTCAGCCCCATCCTCTACCCAGAACCTCTGTCTGCTGATAGACCCCATAAAACAAGAACATTCCATTAGAGAGGTGTTTTTCAAGTGAACAAAGCTGAATAAACAATACTCATAATATATTTGATGACCATCTTAAGACTGCCAGTAATTTGTGTTCCTTTTAATTGCTTCTTTGTTGTGCACCTAGCCATGTTTGAGCCTTTTAAAGATGAAATGTAAAATAAAAAATCCTAGTAAAACAATTATGTTAGAAAACTAACATCTCATGAGGCATTTCTTCAACATCATCAGTCTTTAGTCAGGGTTCCATTTCTCATATCTTCCTTTCAACATTTACCTGAAAGCCTTGGATAAAGCTCGACAGCTTCCCTGCATGGTTATTATCTGCTTTCATTTCCAGTAACATACTGTAGGCTGAAACTGAGACTCTGTCTACAATAGGAAAACTGGAATGCATAAATTTAAACTATAAAATGTCTGAAATAATAGAATCCTTTTTATGTCTTTGTTAAAACCTCAGCTGTCATCTTCACCAAAAATGAAACTTTGTATGGAGGAATAAAAGCAGATTGACTGTTGCACCAAAAGGGAGCACAGATTTATTGTGTCGACACCAGAGCATTAATTTACGGAAGAAGACGAGTGAAAAATAACGTCCTCACCTACTGATAGAGGGAAGTTTTCTCCTAATTCTCACATTATTTTTAGGCTGGGAAAGAGCAAGGTGGTAAAATGGAATAAAATGACACCAGGGTAAAACAAAATAAGAACTACAACAACAGAATGCTGAGATGCGTGTTCAACCTTCAGGCACAGTTTGCAGGTTTGACTTTTATATACGTATAAGACGAAACCGTGGCACTTCCTTTCAGGGCTTCCTTGGTGGTGGTCATTTGTATTTTCTGTCTTCTTGTCAACATTTGTCTTATTGTGAAAAAAAACATCCTTACACATTTGTCATTTATCCAGATCCTGACAAGCTTCTTGTCTGTAAGGTTGGCACTCTATCTTCTTTTAAGACTAGAGTTAAAACTTTTGTTTTTTGGTAAACCCTAGTGAGTCAAAGGACTCAGGACACCCATTTATTTCAGGAAGAAAAAGGAAAAATAAAATATTTGAATACCCCAGCAAGTAATGGGTGAGGGGATATCGTTTTTAGATTATGTTCAGAACATGGCTGCTATTTTGAAAGCTACCATATTGGATGAAAGTCTTTTTTTCCAATGGGAAGGTGGTCATTTAGCATGTTATTGAACTCCAGAATTGTCTCAGAAATCGATTGCCACAATCAGATTCACAATAAATCTTGTGGTTCAAAAATTATAAGCACAGAAATTTGCAAAAAAACAGCTGGGAACTTTGCTTGTTTATTTGATGTGTTCAGTTTGCTGTCCCTGGTGCTGAACACAGAAAGTGTCCAGTGGTTTTTGACTCATCCTAAAAGAGAGTTGGTTTGGATTTCATGAGCTACCCCTTATAGTCATTGGCCAGAGGAAAAAAATGGTATCCAAAAAGGAGTAAAAATAATTTGGTATAGGTGTTTAGCTAGACTCAAAATACAGTTTTGGTAGCTAAAGGCTATTGGACCCATTTTTTTATTTTTCAAGATGTATCGAATACTGAATAATATGGATTCCCAATAATCTACTAAGAAATGCAGTAAAAAATGTGCTGTTAATTGATTACAACGTTTAGCACTGTGTGATAAAATTAATAAATGTTTAAGTGCAGAATATAAATTTATTAGCTTATTTCCAGTATGTAACCATAAATATGGTAAAAATAGATAAAATCTGGGCATTATTTTAGACTGAAAAATATATTTTACTTCTCACTTCATTATATTCTACTATAGCTAAAGATTTGCTCATCGAGTTTATGCAGAACCTTCCTGGTAAGCATTAGGACACATATTGGGCATATTAGTTATGCTCTATGCTTCTATAGGATGTGACTGCTCGCTTTTCTTTTTTATTTTTTTTTCACCCCATATAGACTACATCTGTGCCAGCTTTTCTGTGTCCGTGTCTCTTTCCTGTCCTCGCAAATTCCAGCTGGTCGAGGCAAATAGTTGTCCATCGTTTGCCTGGTTCTGCTGGAGGTTTCTACCTGTTAAAAGGGAGTTTTTCCCTTTCCATTGTCACCAATGTGCTGTTCAGGATGGTAGATTTGATGCAATCTTCTGGCTTCTTTATATAAATAACTTTTGGTAATTGGCATTTTATAATAAATGTGAATGTTTTTTCTACAGCCCCCTGAGTTTTGTTGTGAACTGGCGCTTTATAAATAAACTGACTGAAGCTGAATTACTTCACTTGGCCTTGAAGCAACCTGTTGGAGGTTTAAGTATTTGTTGGGAGCAGGTCTTAAGAGTCTGAGCTGACTAATAGAAGCATCTTGTAGAGGAGCTGCTTCGAGGAGCTTTGTTGCACTCTCATGCTCAGTTGGCCGAAGCTAATCTCCCAGAGACCCTCACTCCTAAAATAGTCTGGCCTCCAGACATCATAAGCAAACACTTGCACCAGGATTTGATCCCAGAATCACACATAAAGCAGCGTCAGAACATTTTCCAGTGTTTGGTAATACTACAGATACAGTGGTTTGCAAAAGTATTCATACCCCTTGAACTTTTCCATATTTTGTCACATTACAACCACAAACATAAATATATTTCACTGGAATTTAATGTGAAAGACCAACACAAAGTGGTATACAATTGTGAAGTGGAAGCAAAATTTTACATGAATCAAAACATTTTTTACAAATAAAAAACTGAAAAGTGCGACGTGCAAAAGTATTCAGCCCTCTTTTCCCTGAGTGCAACCAATTGCATTCAGAAGTTGCCTGATGACTGCTAATGACTCAAAAGGGTCCACCTGTGTGTAATCTAATCTCAGTACAAATACAGCTGCTCCGTGACGGCCTCAGATGTTGGTTAAGAGAATATTGGGGAGCAAACAGCATCATGAAGTCCAAAGAACACACCAGACAGGTTAGGAATATGGTTTTGGAGAAGTTTAAAGCAGGCTTAGGTTATAAAAAGATTTCCCAAGCTTTGAACATCTCACGGAGCACTGTTCAATCCATCATCCGGAAATGGAAAGAGTATGGCACCACAGTAAACCTGCCAAGACAAGGCCYTCCACCTAAACTTACAGGCCGAACAAGGAGATCACTGATCAGAAAGGCAGCCAAGAGGCCCATGGTGACTCTGGATGAAATGCAGAGAGCCACAGCTCAGGTGGGGGAAACTGTCCACAGGACAACAATTAGTCGTGCACTACACAAATGTGGTCTTTATGGAAGAGTGGCAAGGAGAAAGCCATTGTTAAAAGAAAACCATAAGAAGTCCCGTTTGCAGTTTGCCAGAAGCCATGTTGAGGACACAGCAAACATGTGGAAGAAGGTGCTTTGGTCAGACGAGACCAAAATTGAACTTTTTGGCCACAATGCAAAACGCTATGTGTGGCGGAGAAAGAACACTGCACATCACTCTGAAAATACCATCCCCACTGTCAAATATGGTGGTGGCAGCATCATGCTCTGGGGGTGCTTCTCTTCAGCAGGGACCGGGAAGTTGGTCAAAGTTGATGGGAAGATGGATGGAGCCAAATACAGGGCAATCTTGGAAGAAAACCTGTTGGAGTCAGCAAAAGATTTGAGACTGGGGCGGAGGTTCACCTTCCAGCAGGACAACGACCCTAAACATAAAGCCAAAGCTACAATGGAGTGGTTTAAAAAAAAGAATATTCATGTGTTAGAATGGCCCAGTCAAAGTCCAGACCTAAACCCAATTGAGAATTTGTGGCAAGATCTCAAAACTGCTGTTCACAAACGCTCTCCATCCAATCTGACTGAGCTTGAGCTGTTTTGCAAGGAGGAATGGGCAAGAATTGCAGTCACTAGATGTGCAAAGCTGGTGGAGACATACCCTAAAAGACTTGCAGCTGTAATTGCAGCTGTAATTGCAGCAAAAGGTGGCTCCACAAAGTATTGACTCAGGGGGGCTGAATAATTTTGCACATCGCACTTTTCAGTTTTTTATTTGTAAAAAATGTTTTGATTCATGTAAAATTTTGCTTCCACTTCACAATTGTATACCACTTTGTGTTGGTCTTTCACATTAAATTCCAGTGAAATATATTTATGTTTGTGGTTGTAATGTGACAAAATATGGAAAAGTTCAAGGGGTATGAATACTTTTGCAAACCACTGTAAATAGAAGGATCTGATAAAGCTGACAAAGATTTTTTTTTGTTGTTGCAAAAGATCAACAGGAAAATCATCACTGAAAATAAAGTTTTCCCAAGGTGACAAGAAGAATGACTGTACATGGCATATATTTTATATTCTTTAAAAAAAAGAAAATTGAAAAGCTGAGGCAAAAAAAGAAACAAAATTGCAGGGGTTTTATTTTAATTTTGCATTAACTGATTTTAATGTTCTGCCGTCTTTTTGTTACTTTTCCTCTATCTGTCATATTATTTCCTAGAAACTGTGTTTGAAAGGAAAAAGAAACTATTTCTGCAGCAGAGTTCAGCATCAGGGCACCCTTTTAACTCCAGTTAATTTGGAGAGAAGAGCTAGCCATGGATTACTGTACGACTTACAAATGATTTGTTTAAAGCTGCACAGTTAAAATGGGGACTGGTGATGGAGGAAAGAATGAACAGGAAGAGAAGATAAAAGATTCAAAACATCATTATATCTTAAAGCTGGCCTAAAATTTGCAAAGACGAGAGGAAATGCTCAACAATCTCATCCAAACTAAGTAAAGAAACTATTTTTTTATTTGGACATGGCAAAGGAAATGAACAAATAAAAAGTGCCTTTAATGGCGAATCTTTGCCTAAAGAGTTAAAGAGAAAATAATGAAATGAACTCTCCGGCTCAGTTATTTAAGAATTGTAATTTTATTGTAAACACGGTTATGTATTTTAAGTTTAATTTTCCTGTTACAGCCCCAAGCATGTACTGCCTCTCTTAAGCTCTTAAGTGCTTCTCCATGTATTAGACGTTTCCAGCTCCAGATGCTGATTGGCTGCCTCCCTCTGCTGGTGGATTTCCTGAGGTGACCTTCAAGGTTTACCTGTCCGAAGATGATTGGCTGGAGCACACCTTGGACAACAACACCCACTCACCAGTAGCTCCCAATGAGGAAACCTGGCCACCTGATGGAGCTTATAAAAGCCAGCTCAATCATTCAGTCAGGGCTGCTGTGCTTTAGCTGCAGTATGCCGTTGGTTTTTGACTAGATTGTCTTTGTTAGGTTGTTAGGATTGTATTGGTTGTGACTGCGCTTCAGAAACTTTTGTAGCCAAAAGATTCCATTTGTGAGACTCTATGCCTGATTTGAGCCAGTAGTTTTGGTCAATTTGTTTTGTTATTTGAGAATTTGGGTTTTGTTTTCTTTTGGACTTTTCTATTTGGGATTTTGCACCTCAGACTTTATTTAGTCTATGTTTGCTGTGTTTCAGTTAATTCTTGAGGAAAACCTCCTGCCTTTGTGGTATTTTATTGTTAGTGCCTTGCACTTTAATTGTAAAAATAAATTGCATCTTACTTTTTTATACTAAATTTTGGGTCTTGTCATAAATGTTGCGTCCATCACGAGCCGGGACGTAACATCTCTAAAGTAGCTGAAAATGATGTGATGGCATGGCAACTTTCTTTTACAGATGACTTGACTGTACTTCATGCTGCTGTGATGTTAAACCTTATTAATGACACTGAGTGTAATACCTTGAGGCTGTAGCATCTCAAGTTTGACTCCCCAAAAATAAAGTAAAAAAAAGAAAATTATTGCAGTGTTTATTTCATTTATATTTATTTTAACAATAAAGCAAAAAGTGCATCTCATTTTCAATTTCATTCAAATCACATAGAGAACATTTTTGATCCTCCTCTGGAACTGAGCAAAATCATTCGGTTTCTAATGCTAAAGGCAAAGTACCGGATCTGAGTTGTGAACACACTGACCTCTGTTGTTTAGTTAAATTACATGTTGCATAAAACTCAGGTCTATAGACGTCCATTATTAGGATATGAGTTTGTAATTTTGGTTTATGCAGAATGTCGTCTCCCCATTTACATTTATAACTTCAAAATAAAAGTTAAATTTCTTCAGTATTACATCTCAACTTATTTTTATAAATACGCTGAAAATTTGCCTCCTCAAATATCTTCTCATTTTGTCTAACCCAAGTTTACCTATTAGACAAGTCCCAATAAAAACATGTGTTTGTTTATCTATTAAGATAGTGATGATATATGACATTTTTTTCACAAAACCTCTAATAAAGCACCAGATAACTACTGACGTCATGTAATATGCAGCAGTGAACGGACGCCACGTTGTGAAAATGAAATATGTTTCTGGATATGCTTGTGCACCAATTTGCAATAATGTATTCTTATCACTTATGCATGTTATTTTTATTGTTTTTAATTTATTTGTTTGTCAGTATTGTATTATTATGTTGTTGTTTTTAACCCTTTTACAGATTTCCTGCCTTTTTTCATTTGTAAACATTAATAAGTTATAGTAATTTCTGAAAATATATTGATTTTATAAAAAACATTATTTTCTTGTTTTTTTTTTTTTTTTAATATGCTTGTTTTTGTTTCCTCCAAACAGAGTGGCATGGCGTTAACGTACGATCCCACTGCAATACAGAACGGGTAGGTGGCAGTTTTCCCTATCAAATGTACAAACCGTTTCTCACTTTCTGACACCTACAAATTTTACTTTGTGAACTAATAGAAAACTTCACAACTAAAGAAACACACCAATCAACCAGTAGTACTGATGGGCAAAAGCACTTAAACGCGCACACACACATGCACACGTACACTTGTCTATCTGGTTCTGCCTGTTGCAGATGGAGCATTTATTTATGCACCTATGCATACAAGCTGTCAGACATGTTGGTTCTAACTGCAGACAGGGATGCTGGGCGGTGTTGCAGTCCCCCTGTAAGACTTTCATCAGCCGAGGCTATCTGCAGTGCTCCCGAGCTGAATGATGAGAGCAGAGAGTCTGGCTGTTTCAGAGGGAAATTGGAGATTGGTGGTGTCTGCTAGGAATGCTTCTGGTGATGCGTTCCCTGGGGATGCTCCTGCCTAGGCCTTTGTTTATCTCCATCAGCTCTTTTCTCCATCCCTCTTTTTTTTTGTTCAAATCTCTACTATCCTAACTATCACAGTTCAGTTTTGTTTGCTGATCTTTGCATTCTTCATCTCTTAAGTAAATCATAAAACAAAAATTCCAGTCTTTACACTCTCCTGTTTTTGTCTCTTCGGTGTGCGGTTTCACTAAACCCTTTCTTCCTTCCAGTTCAGCTCTTTTTAAACAGCTGCTTTAGTTTCAGTAATCTCTCGTGGTTTTAAAAAAATGAAATAAAAAATGCGTGTGCGACCGTTCGTGCATGCATAAATGCAGAGTCGTACGCGAGCATCTGTGCTCTCGTGGTGTTTGAGCCTTCTCCGACCCCTCATCCGAGGTCATCCGAGCTCCTTCCGGCATGGCACTAAATGACTGTGAAATGCTAATGCAGCTAATTAGAGAGGCAAAAAAGGGAAAAAATGCAGGGAGGGAAGGGGTTTGCATGAAAATGGAGGGATGAACAGGGTCAAGAGGAGGGCAGAGGCAAAAATAAAGTCAGCCCAAGGAGAGTAGCAGAGAATATGAATCAATTACTGCTTCGCTTGTGTCTCTGAACTCGAGCTGGTTTGTAAGAACTAACGCCAGGTTTTTAATACTGGAAGCACTTATTTCCCAGAATGCTCTGGCTGAAAGCCTGTCCTCTTTATTGTCAAGATTAAAACCCAAAATCACTTTCTCGCTGTCTGCACTTCCCCTCCTCCCGAGTTGCCGATCTCTTCAACTTCTCTGCTGCTCTTTGCATATTTGTTGGTTTCTCTCTCCTGTAAAGTCACTGAGGTTAGCACTAAATCACCCGCTAATTTTTCATTTCGAACGCCTGACTGTGCGCTCAGACCACACCAGGAGTTACATTCAATCCTCTTCTAATGCTCTGCTCGCAGTTACATGTTAAGTGCATTGTTTGAGTGGCTGTATTAGAGTCTCCATTGACAGTTTGCTGCTCGGAGCTAATAGCTTCCATCAATAACCTTGGATCTGTCCTCTGCCTACTTCTTTCCTCTCTCAAAACACATCAGTCTAATGAAAAATACAATAAATACAATCAGAGGAGCGTATTGAATAACCCTGCTGCTGTCCCTCATTTGTATTCATCAATGACAGTAATACAGTATCTCTAATGCAAGTCATATATTAATTGTAGTCAGAAAGACTGATCCATGCTACAGCTCTGCCTGCTGGGGAGTCTTCAATACTCTTTCTAACAAGTTCCAGTCTTTTTGTCCTATTTTTGTGTTTGCCCAAGCTGTTTTTTAATCTCTGCTCTGTCTTTCATTTTGTATAAAATACATTTATACTTCATATATAGACTATATGTTCAAGTTCCAATCATAAAACCACTTTGGGCTTTAGGTGGAAACAATCAATGTTAATTTGACGTATTCAAATCCATGCTTATCTTTTGGTGGACAGTGTTCAGATGGAACTGCCTGGAACTTTCTAGTCCAAATTTAAAGACGACACATGCAAAATCCAGTTTTTTAGCTATTAAATACATTTTGTGTGTGCTTGGAGTCGCTACGAGTGCAGAAAAGTTGAATTTAGTTACTGTTTTTCAGTTTGTTGCACCAAAACTGAATGATTTAAATGTGAAACGGAAGGACTTAAAAGCATGGTATGTCCCTCTTTAACATCAGGTGATGGACAAATAGGAATGCAACATTTATTAATTTCAGAAATGACATCATGCTTAGCTTCTTTTATGTAGGATTGAGTGCATATTTTTGTCTCCTTGATGTTCTGTGATGCAGCCAGGAGCTGTTGTTTGAGATCAGGAGAAGCCATCAGCAGGGTGTGGAGGACTGAGACTTCCAGTTCAGTACAAGACGCTACAGAATATAGATCACTGGTAGTAGTTAGGACACACAATGTACTTAGCTCAGAGACAGAGATCTGAGAAAGCTAACCGTTAGCTGGGTACAGTTAGCAGGAACAAAACACTTGTGCGATCCCTCACAAAACGGTAAAGGTGCACCAAAGGTGCAAAAATTCTCCATGGAGAAAATTGTTATAGGCCATATTTTGTATTCATGGGATGTGCATTTCTTCAGCTAGGCTTTTACATTTTTTTCCCCAAATAAAAATAATACAGAACCGAAAGATCTGGTATTAAGGGAAAATAAAAGTCTTATTTTGGTGAACTGAGCTGCTGGGTCGTCACACTTTCAGAACAATCAGCCTGCGCGTGAACCAGAACTCAGTCGGCTTCTAATTAATTAGGTTTTCTCTGTTTTGTTCCACAGACGTGAACCATGTTGTATTTTGGCAATTGGAGAGAAATTATTGAAGCACCGTTTTTACAACCTCTACTTAGCCTTCAGCGCTCCAATTAAAGCATTAAAAACCCAACAGGGGCCAACCGTCAGAGGTTTGCATCTTTGTAGCTGAGGTGGAAAACTAGTCCTGACTGGGAAAATGAGATGTAGAAACAGAACGTGCTAACTTACAGACGTGCAAAGAAAACATTTCAGTCTTGAAATGAAATGTACTCTTTTGTTATCTTGTCTCTGCTTGATATCTGAGTCACTGCTGTACGTTCTGCATTACATGTCCAAAATATTTAGAAAATAAATCCAACAAAGCAGATTATATGATATTTTAGGAAAACCTAATTTGAGAGCAAAGTAGCTTTTATGTAATTATGGCTGTTAGAGACAGAAAGAGAAGGACTTTTTTTGTCTCTGCCTCCCCTCCCTTTAGCTCCATTATTCAGTCAACAGACACTTTAGGATCGATCGGGCACAGCAACATGGCCTGGTGGATGAAACATGTCCTCTCTAGGTACACAATGATAAATAAAGCACTGCGAGCCACAGCATTGCACTGCTGCAGGGTTGTGGGGGTGAAATAAGAAAAGGAGAGAGAGCGAAATGAAAGTAAATTCAGAAGGGCAAACAGAGGAATGGGCCGAAACAAAGCTGCAACTGCAGCTTTCTGAGTTTGTGTAGGTGGGAACATAAAGGGTAATATTGAAATATTTCACCCACTCACACATTAAGGTGATCATTTATTATGCATAGCTGCAGTGCACACTCCTTTGTAAAACGATGTGTACTCAAATTCAGTGTCAAGTCTCATTCTCTGTCTTTGATGGTTTGGCACAAAGTGAAGCTGCAGTATAAATTATTTCTATGACAGCACTGATGAGGATGTCTGGTTCATTTTGTCAGCGTTGACTTAAAATGCTCCGAGCACAAACCCTGGCCCAAACGATGGAATCACCTCTCTTTCTTCAGTTGCTTAATTTTGTATTTTTTAAAACAGATAAATCACAGACATGCCACAAAAACATAACTTATCCCAACTTTCTGGTATTAAGAAACAATAAAAAAATGTAAATGAGTTGCTGTTCGATCAATCAATCAATCATATTATAGAATCAGTGTATAATTTGCAGTTCTAAAACAAACACCTGCATCAGAATAAATCCAATATTTTGTCTCATATGGCTTCAACATGAGTAGTGCCAGCTGAAACAAAAGTGGATGGAAATAAACCATTATGGAATGTTGCAAAAGATGTTGGTCAGCTGTTTGTAAAATCAGGAAGGAAGGAAGGAAGGAAGGAAGGAAGGAAGGAAGGAAGGAAGGAAGG